AATTACTGAATTTGATCCAGTTTAAAAAAGGAATACTAAAAATTACAAAAAATTTTAGGCAAATCAGTGTGCGAAAAACTTCTTCAGTCAATGAGGAAGAATGTTTTAGTTACCTAAATAAGTTATTGAAACAATTGAAATAATTTTTTTATTTGTAGATTATACACCCGATTTCGCCCATATAGACCAGTTGCCGCATGCATACTGAAGTTAGGCACCACTTTTAAAATATATCTTGTGATATACTTAACAAACTGTGAATCTAAAAAAACTTTTTATAAACTTAAATCTCAAAAAAAAAAGTGTGAATACATTAAAAGAAAGGCATAATAATTCGCCCTTTTATCTACAGAACAAAGAATGATAAAATATCATTCTTTTGACTTTTATATTTTTTTTTATTATTGTGAAACACCTTTTAATAATTCAAAACAATGCAACACAGAAAAAACAGAAGATGAAAAATTGAATGAGTCAGTTGTGGATATTTTGGTCTACATCAATGACTACAGAAATGAATTTATATATTACGACAAATAAAAATAAAATCTATAAACATCAACACATTAAGAGAAAGCACTAATGAGTTAAGAATATTCGAAATTAAAGTTCACAGACTGAATGGTGGCAAGCTGGAATGCCAGGTTTGAAGTAAGTTAAATCAATCATAAAATCTGAAAAATGTAACTTTGAAAAAAGATACGTTTATTAAAAAGTATAGGATTCATAGAATTACCATGATAAATTTACTTTATGTATAATTATGATAACATTGTGTAGTAAAAGAGTAAAGGACTTTTAAAATTATTTAAGCAATTTGCATTTGATTTCCCCCCCCCAGGGGCACACTCTTGTGTGACGGGTACGGCGCACCCGGGGCCCCGAGCTGGACCTTAGCATACTTCAATTTCTTCCTTGCGACGGTCCTGTTTCGAGTTTCTGACCTTCACATTTAAGTACATATTAACTTTGGTTAAGGCGCACCGTGTTCTTTGATATGTTGTAGTTTTTTCTTTATTTAGAGAGAAAACTAGTTTCCCCCAATCTTTGCTTCAGATATAATTATTTCCTCAGAACTTTTATATTTTTCTTACATATAGACAGAAATTGAGAAATATTCCAACGCCCTTTTCATGTAGTCACAAATCTGAATCTAAGCATCTAATTTCTCAATTTATTGTATACTTCTTTGATATGTTGTAGTTATTTATTTATTTTGAGAGAAAACAAGTTTCCTGCAATCTTTGCTTCATATTTAATTATTTCCGCCGAACATTTATATTTGTCTTACATATTGACGAGAATCGAGAAATATTCCAACACCCTATTCACGCAGTCACTAAGCTAAATCTAAGCATCTATTTTCTCAATTAATTGTTTACTTCTTTGTTATGTAGTAGTTATTTCTTAATTTAGAGAAAAAACTCGTTTTTTCCTATCTTTGCTTTATATTTATATATTTCTTCCGAACATTTATATTTGTCTCCCCCCAGGGGCACACTCTTGTGTGACGGGCACGGCGCACCCGGGGCCCCGAGCTGGACCTTAGCTTACTTCAATTTCTCCCTTGCGACGGTCCTGTTTTGAGTTTCTGTCCTTTACATTTAAGTACATTGGCCTAGTGAGCGAAAATTATTTTATTTACTTTCAAATTCTGGATATCATTTGCAGAATATTGGTTTCTAGACTATCGATGTATATTTTTTTTTCTTGTCACGTTGATATATTTATATAAATTATCTTGTTATTCTTATTTATTATATGATATATTATCTTGTTGCAATTCCTTATTANGAATATTGGTTTCTAGACTATCGATGTATATTTTTTTTTTCTCGTTTCGTTGATATATTTAGATAAATTATCTTGTTATTCTTATTTATTATATGATATATTATCTTGTTGCAATTCCTTATTACTTATAGATTCTCATTCTTATCGTAGTTGCCAGATTAACTGGTAAGGAGTTTTCGTCTTGGTTCAGTGTTATATTGAACCCTGATGAGAAGAAATCACCCGCGTGTTCGCCGTGCGTGGAGACCCGTGTCCCTGGAAAAGGAGATCCTGGTAGTTGAGGGGTATCTTGGTACCCCAACACACTGCTTTGGCCCCTGCTTCAGATAAACGGGAGGTGCATAGAGGCCCGTATGCATCCAGTCACTAATGTCATCTGTTGGCTAGGGTCAAGCCCGGGGTCACTTTCTGGGCACCTCGTTAAGGGTGGAGGCTGCTTCAGGGGTGACTTTCGGGCGTATAACTATTGGTCAGCATCGATGTTGAGTAACAGATTTATATCTATTCCTCGCATCCCCTGAGTTGGACTCCGTGGTGGGTGGTGCCGCCGATAGTGGAAGTTTTATTTCTTTTCCTATGGCTGAAAATGAACAGGTGTTCAGTTCCGCTCACCAGAACAAAAGCGGAACAGCCTCATTACCTAGTTTTAATCTATCAAATTGCTCAAATTACGACCCCTCCAAGTCAAAGTTCCTTGTTCTAAGTTCTGCAGAGAAGAAACTCTCCTCTATGTCACCTTTTCTAGTCCAAAAATCTCTTGAGACACACATTGGAAATCCAAAACATGTCAAACCAATGCCATCTGGAGACTTATTAGTTGAAACAAATTCTACCAAACAAACAACTTCACTTCTCAAATTGAATCAAATTGGAAACGTTAAAATTACAGTAACCCCTCACAACACTCTAAATATTTCGAAAGGCGTAATTTCAGAAAAAGCATTACAATCCATACCAATCTCAGAAATTTTAGAAGGTCTCTCTGATCAAGGCGTTATAGATGCACGCCACATAACAATCAAGAAAGGTTCAGATATATTTACAACTCAACATATAATTTTAACTTTTAATAGTGCTGATCTACCTATTGATATTAAAGCTGGTTACCGAAACTGCAAAATCCGTCCATATATTCCAAATCCTTTACGCTGTTTTAAATGTCAGAAGTTTGGTCATTCTACCAACAATTGCAGAGGGAAAGAAACCTGCTCCCGCTGTGGCCAACCTGGACATTCATTCAGATCCTGTTCATCTCCTGAAAAATGTGCCAACTGTAATGAAGATCATTCTGCTAATTCCAGACGATGCTTAAAATGGAAGCAAGAAAAGCAAATTTTAAGCATAAAAGTAACGCAAAACCTTTCCTACTTCGAAGCTAAAACTAAATTTCTAAGCTCGCAACCTCGACCAAATGTTTCGTATGCCGCAGCAGTTATGAATCCGATCTCAAATACCAAACATACTAAATCTGTAGGCTGTCAATGTGACTTTACAGAATCTGAAACACAAAATAATAAGCCTAAAACAGTATTGCCCAGACAAACAGCCAACCAAACAATATCCTCCCAGTCTCAACAAACGAAAAATCCGGAAAAATCTGCATCTCCTTCACCTATACAAAACACTTCTGAAAGCCAAAGATACGTGAAATTAACGCCTCAATTAATAAACAAATTACAACAAAAACTGACTCAGTCTCCCGTAACCAGCAAGCTTAAATATATACCAAAAAGTAGACAAAACAAGTTCCATAAAGACAAGTTAAAAAAACCAAAAAACAAAGAACTTTCGCAATCTGATGCAATGAGCACCGACGAAGAAAACCGTGACGAACTACCTTACCAGCAAATGCAAACTGACGAGGGGTTGGAGGCTCCACCAAACCTTTGTCCGAAATCTAAACTAAAAATTAAAAGATAATAAATGGCCAAAATAATATCCTGGAATTGCAGAAGCTTTAACACTACAAAACCAGACATAATTGATATTATAAATAAATTTTCCCCTTGTTGCATTTGTCTTCAAGAAACCGCTCTCAAACAAACTCAAACAATTAAACTACGTGGTTACAATATAAACAATAAAGCTTGTGGCGGAGTTATGATTATGACGTCCGCAAGATATCCATCTAATATGTTATCGCTAAATACTAACTTGCAAGTAGTTGCTGTTCAACTAGCCTTTCAAATTCTCTTAACAATTTGCTGCATTTACCTTCCTCCCGGAGATAATATATCCCAAATTGATTTAGATACCTTGATCGGTCAACTCCCGCAGCCATTTATAATATTAGGAGATTTCAATGGCCATAGCCCTACTTGGGGAAGTCCTGACTCAATTAATAGGGGTCTCCAAATTGAAAAATTAATTGATGACCATCTTCTGTGTCTTCTTAATACAGGGGAAAGCACCTACTTTCACGCTCCATCGCGATCATTTCATGCTATAGATTTAGCCATATGCAGTCCATGTATTTATCCATATTGGTTATTTCATGTTCATGACGACCTCTTTAATAGCGATCATTTTCCATTAGTACTTACAGGCAGTAACAGCTACGTTTTATCCAAAACACCGCGAATAAAGTTAAACACTACGAACTGGGTTGAATTCACTACCTGGATACATATTGATGAAAGCATAGTAAACCAAGCTGATATAAATCTTGCAGTTGATCATTTCACAGATATGATACTAGAAGCAACCAAACATAGTTCAAAATTGTCATCCACAAAATTACCAAAACATCCTAAACCATGGTGGAACGATGACTGTCAAAAAACCAAAAAAGAACAAAAACATTACTGGCAGATTTTTCGTAAACATCCAACCACTGATAACCTAATTGCTTTCAAAAAAGCCCGATCAGTGGCCCGAAAAACTCGACGAAACGCTCAAAGAAATTCCTGGAAAAATTATATCTCTTCCATAAAGTATAACACACCATCAAATTTAATCTGGAATAAAATAAGGACGATTTCTGGTAATTATACAGCACATAATATCCCTATTCTTAAGTGTAATAATTCACCAATCTCAGATATACACGATGTTACGAACGCCCTTGCCGGTGCATTTGCTCAAGTTTCCAGCTCTTCTAACTACCCAGAACCATTTGCTTCAATTAAAAGAAATAAAGAAGAAATTAAACTAAAGCCTAAGAATACAAATAGCAAATATAATGAACCCTTTACATTCAACGAAATTCAAATAGCTCTAAAAATATTCATCCAACAACACCTGGTCCTGATGATATTCAATACACTATGATTCAAAACCTTCCGGATAAAATTTTAAGTCTTCTCCTAAAACTTTATAATCGCATTTGGATCGANATGGAATGATCCAGTCTCAATCAGAGTCAATGTGGGAATCAAGGGCTAGTAAACTTTATAATCGCATTTGGATCGAAAGAGTTTTTCCAAAAAACTGGTCAACTGCTTATGTCATCCCCATTTTAAAGCCAGGAAAAAACCCCGAAGAAACTACTAGCTATAGACCTATTGCATTGACCGGCTGTCTTTGCAAGCTTCTTGAAAAAATGGTGAATCGACGCCTTATGTTTCTACTTGAAACCCAACATCAACTTTCTGAATACCAAAGTGGTTTCCGTAAAGGTCGAAGCACTCTTGACAATTTACTAAGACTTGAAACAGACATCCGTCATGCCTTTTTAAAAAATCAACATTTAGTTTCAATTTTTTTCGATATGGAGAAGGCATATGACAGAACATGGCGGTATGGTATACTTAGGGATCTTATTAATTGCGGAATCGGTGGCAACATGTTCTATTTTATCAAAAGTTTTTTATCAAACAGAACATTTAGGGTTAAAATTAATTCCGTTTTATCTGATATTTTTATCCAGGAAGAGGGTGTTCCTCAAGGTAGCGTTTTAAGCGTGACGCTTTTCATTTTAAAAATAAACGACATTTTACTTCAACTTCCTCCATCAGTTTATGGTGAATTGTTTGTTGATGACTTTCGGATATCATGCCGATCTACTGATATGTCACTTATTGAACGACAAATGCAAATAGCTGTCAATAAAAGTTTAGTATGGACGACAGAAAATGGTTTTACATTATCTACTCAAAAAACTCACTGTATGCATTTTTGCCGCAAACGTGGCCTACATCCTCATCCGGAAATCATTCTAAACAGTTGCGTTATACCCGTTGTTGCTGAAACGAAATTCCTGGGAATGATATTTGATTCAAAACTCACATTTAAACCTCACGTAAATTACATTAGGAAAAAAAACATCTAATTCATTAAATATTTTAAAAGTTCTTACTAATTGTTCGTGGGGGGCTGACATGGACGCAATGATTAAAATATATCGTGCTGTTATACGTTCAAAACTAGACTATGGCATTCCCGTATATTCATCAGCTCGTTCATCTGTTTTAAAATATCTAGACACAATTCATAATCAGGGTCTTAGAATATCGTTGGGGGCGTTTCGAACTTCGCCAATTGAGAGTCTGTATGCGTTATGTTCCGAGCCATCTCTTTATTTTCGTCGCTCTAAACTGTCCCTAGATTATCATTTCAAAATTAAATCAAATCCACGTCATCCGTTGTATTCAGGTGTCATCAATCCGCAATTTACCACTCACTTCTCTTCACGTCCATCTTACATCCCTTCATTTGGGTTAAGAATCAAAAAAATTTTAAATGATTTTAATATTTTCAATTTCGCAGCTTTTACTAATATAGAGACTATCCCACCTTGGGTTAATCTCTCGGTGTGTGTCTTAGATATTTTTGGAAATTTCAAGAAATCTGACACCAACTCTAGTGTTTTTAGCCAAAAATTTTATGAACATCGTAATAATTATAATGATTTTAAACCAATTTTTACTGATGGTTCAAAACATGATAACCATGTTGGTTGTGGTGTGGTTATTGAAAATTTTACTATATCTGAACAATTGCACCAAGACGCATCAATTTTCACTGCAGAATGCTACGCTATTTTACTAGCTCTAAATTTTATCTCTGACCAAACTTACCGCAAGTGGATAATTTATACTGACTCTCGCAGTTTTATATCAAGTGTTCCTCACACCGGGCGAAACCCCATGATATGTAAAATCCAAAGTTGTTTTACAGAATTGTGCGGAGAAGGTTTCCATATCTACTTTTGTTGGATACCATCACATGTTGGCATAAAGGAGAATGACCTTGCTGACATTACGGCTAAAACCGCTCAAAATGTAAGCAATAACCTTATAACATCCCTTGATTTCAAACGCATATGTAAATCCACAATACAACAGGCTTGGAAAGAACATTGGTATAAACAAGCTAATAATAAACTGCACGAAATTTATCCTGATCTTGACAACTTTAAAACAATACATATTGATCGCAAAACCCAGGTTATTATCAATAATTTGCGCATTGGTCATTCTCGTTTTACTCACATGCATTTACTAAAATCTGAACCTGCACCTAGTTGTTCTCTATGTCATGTCGACATTACTATTAAACATATTTTAACAGACTGCGAACGATTCAAACATTTGAGGAACAAACTTTTTGGTAGCTTTTATCCTAATCTTCAATCTTTACTTGGTGACCCTATACATCACAATCTTTTAAAGTTCATATTCTCTGCTTTAAAATAATACATTATCTGCTTTAAATAATAAATCAGTAGTTTGACCTAGAGTCCGACTATTAACCTAGTGCCTGGCGCAGCATAGCCATTTCTGGCTCTTGTGCCAATAAAATCCAACTAACTAACTTATATTTGTCTTAAATATAGACAAAAGTGTAGAACTATGCCAACACCCTATTCACGATTTCACTAATCTAAATCAAAGCATCTATTTTTTCAATTAATTGAATACTTCTTTGATATGTTGTAGTTATTTCTTTATTGAGAGAGAAACTAGTTTCCACCAATCTTTGCTTTATATTTAATTATTTCTTCCGAACATTTATATTTGTCTTACATATAGACAAAAATCGAGGAATATTCCAACACCCTATTCACGCAGTCACTAATCTAAATCTAAGCATCTATATTTTCAATTAATTGTAAACTTCCTTGATATGTTGTAGTTATTTCTTTATTTAGATAGAAAACTAGTTTCCTCCAATCTTTGCTTTATATTTAATTATTTCCGCTGAACGTTATTGTCATTCTTACATATAGACAAGAATCGAGAAATATTCCAACAACCTTTTCACGCAGTCACTAATCTAACTCTGAGCATCTATTTTCTCAATTAATTGTACACTTCTTTGATATGTTGTAGTTATTTCTTTATTGAGAGAGAAAATTAGTCTCCTCCAATCTTTGCTTTATATTTATTATAGCCGAACATATTTATTTGTTTTACATATAGACAGAAACGAGAAATATTCCAACACCTTTTTCATGCAGTCGCTAAACTAAATCTAAGCATATATATTTTCTCAATTAATTGTATACTTCTTAGATATGTTGTAGTTATTTCTTTATTTTGAGAGAAAACTAGTTTCCTCCAATCTTTGCTTCATATTTAATTATTTCTGCAGAACTTTTATATTTGTCTTACATATAGACAAGAATCGAGAATTATTTCAACACCTTTTTCATGCAGCCACAAACTGAATCTAAGCATCTATTTTCTCAATTAGTTGCATACTTCTTTGACATGTTGTAGTTATCTATTTATTTTGAGAGAAAACTAGTCTCCTCCAATCTTTGATTTATATTTATTATCGCCGAACATATTTATTTGTTTTACATATAGACAGAAACGAGAAATATTCCAACACCCTTTTCATGCAGTCACTAAACTAAATCTAAGCATATATGTCTTCTCAATTAATTGTATACTTCTTAGATATGTTGTAGTTATTTCTTTATTTTGAGAGAAAACTAGTTTCCTCCAATCTTTGCTTCATATTTAATTATTTCTGCAGAACTTTTATATTTGTCTTACATATAGACAAGAATCGAGAATTATTTCAACACCCTTTTCATGCAGCCACAAACTGAATCTAAGCATCTATTTTCTCAATTAGTTGCATACTTCTTTGACATGTTGTAGTTATCTATTTATTTTGAGAGAAAACTAGTCTCCTCCAA